TGTCAAGCGTAACCTATAGAACCGAGAGCGGGTGTTATCAATGCACTTCTTTTCCCAGACCAGACACAGGCGTACGGTCACGAGGAAGTGCATGGATTTAGTGCCTGCCATTTGTATTAGCTCCCTTATTGTTTCCTTCTTTGCATGTTCAGGAGTGAGAGAAAAGTGATGCGCTCAGTTATGTGTCTTCTATTTATCAAACCAAATTGGCTGACGCGCACTACTGTGGCGGTCACATGGGGAGCCCTTGGGACCAGTCACTGACATCTGCTCCTGTATCCAGATCGAACACATGGATCAACTTCTATTTCCAGAACATAACCTCTACATCTCGAATTCCATTTACTAATAATCATTTGACAATGTCTAGCGCTTAACACACTTCCAAAAACGTCTTCCGCCAGCTAAAAATGCGCACAGCTCAGCAGCCAAAAATGTTTCGATCGTAACAGCATGATGAGGAGCTTTTGTCCGCAAAAAGGAATGTTTCGCAACTCTAGGACATTAGCATTGACGGTGGGGATGAGGTTCGTATCGAGACCATGTCTTGGGGGTCGTATTTAGCAAAAATTCACCGCAACGCGCCCCAACGCTATTACTTGGACCGCTCGCTTTGATAAATAGGGAAATCCAACTTGTAATACCTTTTTTCTCTAATAATGCTACTAGCTGGGAACTGAGGACTTTCTCTACCTAAGAGGATCTGTCAGGGCACATCATTGGTTGGGGATTTTAATCGCCAAAACGTAAATACGGCCCTCCCCCTCCCAAAAGTGATCAAATATACGGTCCCTCCCTTTACAACGTCCATGAAGCGAGAAAAATCAACTATCAAAATAAATTTTTCTCAGCCCAAATACGACCCCCCTCCTGGCGACCAAATACGACCCCCCTGGGGATTCCCCAACAACGATGTGCCCTGTCTGGAATATAAGGGAGATGGTTTCACCTTTTATTTAGGCCGGGATAAGTGCAACTTCATTTAATAGATGAGCTTCTCTTTGTTTCTTTTGTTTTCATTGTTTCAAGTTTATACATCTCTTGAAACTTACCCTACTGGCGAAACTGTTCAACTTCCAAAACATTTGTAGTTTACAACTCGAGTTCATAGGAAAGAAAGGAACAAAAAGGAACTCATTTAGGAACCGGAACACCAATTCTTTTATGACCATCGAGGAGGAAGGAAACTTTATAAGTTCATGTATAAGCTCGAAGAATGAAAAAAGAAACAATAAGAAACTCACCCTAAATGAAGCCCCTTGCTTTTTGCTCATTTCTATCCTGAATCAAAAAAGAAAATAGAAAGAAAACCATTAGTTTCATCCACCTCTCCTTCGAATACCAGGATCAATTGCAATCAAAAGAAAAAAAAGCAGGAAATTGAGCCAGTTCTTTCTAATAGCACTCGGAGCGGTCCAGGTAATAGCGTTGGGGCGCGCTCTGACGCATACCAACCAGGGCACGCCATCGTTGTGATCATCACAACAGGGGGTCGTATTTGACCTCGAGGGAGGGGGGGGGTCGTAAGCGCGGGGACCTTTCTGAAGTGAGGGTGCAGCGATACCTCAGAATGTCGTTTAGCTTCAATGATGGAAGACTTATCCATGTGAAGAACCTCTGAAGGGACCACAAGACAGAAGCACCTGCCGAAGTGGGGAAAGGGCGATGACAGGAAATACGATGGTCGCCCACAACGACGTCAAAAAAGGATAAAAGGGAAGATCTCCGCCATTGATCAACCCTTGTGAGATGCGGCACACATTTCTAACTCTTCAATAATCGCACTGAGCTATTGAATGCGGATGTGGCCTATACAATGACTTGTGGAGGCCAGCCGATGTGCAAGTTAGTGATTTATACTCCCAGACAAACCTGGTACCAATTCACCGTCCCCGGAGGTGTGTATGAAGGCTATGGTGGCCAGGGCGGGGAGTCGAACGCGGGATTTGAACCGGGCATCAGCGACGTGAGCGCGCGCGGCTTGTAGCTACAACCTATCAAGCGCCAATTGACATTCTTGCCATGAATCAATAAACAGATGGAAATACACTTTAGAACCTTTCTATCGTAGGAGCACATCTACATCCACGGAGGAAGCCCTTTCTAGAAAATCACCTTCCAATACCTCTGCGTGAAAGCAGTATGCACGGCGCACTGCAGAGGCCATGCCAATTGGCGCCCAATGAATTATTTAATGATATCCTTGGCAAAAACATGCGTTTTTAGAAGCACACTACAAGCCACTTACCAACTGAAAGGCTTCTTGCGTCGGAGGGTTGATTTTTCGCTGTCGTGTGGGCGCAGTGATCACGCTGGTGATCACAACTGATAGATATTTTCGCGAAATGCAGACTATGGAAATAAAATGAAAAGTTTGCTGGTAATAGTGAATAAGGGCGCTGGTAATGAAAAGGTCTTGCTATGGATATTCAAAGCGTAGCCACTTGAGGTTTACCCCCTCCCCCCATGATCACAAGAGGATCACAACGGAGAAAATTTCTTAAAAGGATATTTTTTTGAAATCGCTCAAAATCAGGTAACAAGTGCCAACATAGTTCCCCTCATTCCTGCTTTCCCCTCTCCGGAAGCTTTACTCTAAAAGAACTATGTGTTCGAAAAGGGGCACTTGCCGAAGGTTTGGCTTAGAAAGTGCTTCCGGGTCGTAAAATAGCTTCGCTCCATCCCTTGTATTAGCGAGATGACCACGCGAACCAATTTATATTTCACGATGCAAATTTCTAGTATCCGGGCCTTCCATGTCCGCCCATTGGATTGTTTTTATCCTTAGTTTTTTTTTCCTATGCTTTGTTGATTTTCTTTTTGGTTTCTTATTGTTTTCTAGTCTGTGTTCTGGTTTTCGGCGCTCTCGTACTATTCTTACCCCAGCCTGCCAGAATCAGGCTGCTTTTTTATCGTCCTTTCTTTCAAAAGGGCAGATTGGGCTGAAAAGTTTGCCTTATAGTGATTACCTTCGATCCTCCTCACACGAATATCACTTCGCTTCACGCCACAAACCTACGATTTGATGATTAAGGGTAATACTTCGGCGGCCAAATACGCCTAATCAGCAAAAATCTGAATTGAAACTTGTATACGGGGGTTTATTATAGAACTCTCTGACTTAACGAATTGACATTTATTATCTTGGCCCCAGAGGTTATTGTTATGCACCTAATTTTGCTAAGACTGAATCTGGCCTGAGAGGATCTTCCCTTTTCCCAGTTTCAACCTCAGCAGAGCGCTAAATAGCGCTGGTATGGAGAAATGATGTCATACTCGTGGTCAGGACACCGGACATCGAATAACATCTATAGACAAAGTTTCAGCGAAATTTTTTGAGTTCTTGGGTAGGAATAGTTCAATAGTGCCTAGTTCTCTTTATTGTCATTTTCTTCATCCCTTTTGCGCTTCTTTTCGTTTCTACCCTCACAGGGGAGGGGTCGTATTAGGACCCTTATTTGGGGGGGGGGTCGTATTTAGCGCAAAATGATTACAACACGTTGGTGCCCTGATACCCACGATCGCGGCGATCGCCACTGTGTCGCGAAGTATGCCTAAAACTCGCAAGAGTCCAAAATGACCGTAACATCCGTCGCTATGGAGGGCATGGCTGTTGAGCATTCGAGCGTGTGTACAGTCCTCATCATTGCGGACCGTCGGGAGGGGGGGGGGAGGGTGAGCAGCGCGTTTCCTGTGCGCGGTCAGCTCCCTTGCTCAACCGAAGGCGATCGATTTAGGAAGGAAACAACCACTGATGGAAAGCCGCAGGCGAGAACCACTGACAATTTAGTGATATTAATGTACCGCCGTTATTTGCGACAAAAGTATATATTTGCTCTTGTAGCTCGAAATTCTTAAGGAGCTCAGTGTGATATTCAATTTGTGATTGTGCAAGACGACTGAATTAAAGAGGTAAACAAGTTCGAGTTTTGCAAGATGATGCCTTACTTCGGTGCAGTTTGTCGGGGGCATTTTGCACTTTCGCTATTTCCTATCGACGTGTCGGCCTATCTAGACAGCCTCTTCTCGAGTTGACAGGTTTTAACATGATGGCTTGACTACCTTGTTCCAGCTTCACAAGAGTTCACAGGTTTCGCCAGAGTGAGACATGTAAACCGGAACTGAGGAAGCAATGATAGTGCAAAATGCCCCCCCCCCGTCGACAAACAGCGCCCCTTATTTCTTCCAAGTGCGCTGTGTAGTCAGCTTTCCTCAACCGGCAAATCTGTCAAAGACACGTAAGTAAGCATGTTTGGGAGCTTCAATGCTATATGCTAACTGAACCAGTTGGGAGCTGTGCCTCCCCGGTTGTTCGGAAATGCGCGGAAGGATTGAGCGTAATGAAAGGTGGATTCCCCTCGGAGAAAGCTTGCTTCTACAATTGTGGACTCGATCGCCTCGCACATGGCAATAACTGGGTCCCCGGATGTGAGACCAGCATATGCTATGTTGGCTCCTAGACTAATGACGAGGCTTGTTAAAAACCTTCTGCAAAGCGTGTCAGCTTGAGTGGCAGTTCCACCGAAGCATGGGTAAGACAATAAAATGACTCAGAAACCTCGAGAGCTCATCGGAGAAGACCGACTTTTTTGATGAACATCATCTTGATACCTTTATTAAGCTTCTACGTCTATACACAAGTATGTTATTAAATACTATGCGTGCCGAAACTAACTCGTAACTGAAAATTCATCGGAGACTGTATATCAAAGCTTTGCGTTACCATAGATAACGTTTTTCAGAGGTGAACGATTAATTATTTTGAGAAGATTCACTTTTTGGACGAGGATTCATCATAAGGACAGACTTAGCCAGAGACGACATCAAAGAGTTTAAAAAGAATACCCGGCTATAGGAAATGTAAAAAACCTGCAGAACAGACAAAATGAGACAGAAATCAGATCTGATATCACAAAATAAATACCAATAGCGATTGAGTATCAGCAATAGACAAGTGTCGAAAATTGCGTGTGGACTAGACGGAAAGGAAATATCTTAATTTACTGGGTATAGGCTTTCACAGCTTGATCAGCCATGACCACAATGAATCGATCAAGCCAAGTGATGGAATGTGGTGAGAATGAGCCACCTTCAAGGAAGCCCAGATGACCGCCATGCCTTGTCAAGATGAACGCCATGTCTTCGGAACGAGAAGCGAGTTCCTGAACGTGATTATGTGATTACTCTCATAAGGGCTGCAAGGAACGCATCAGTGGAGCAAGCTGAAGTGTGACGGTACAAAATAAGAAAGGATCTATACATCACTCATTGCCCACCTGCAGAAGCCTTCCCCTCCCCACGCCCCAGCATCCGCACGGACAACGACTGTATCAGCAGAGATTACAGAATTCATACAGGATTATCATTTCATGGACACTATTGGGATTCCACTCCGAATCTATCAGGTCATCCCATTCAAATAGGTGGAAGGTTTCTATTTTGAGATTAACACACTGAACGTCGCTGCGTTTTTGCGGCGACTCCCGTTTTTACTTCCCTGCGTCTCCGCGCGCGTGAATTGCGTGCAATACACAAACGCGCGAAACGGGAGTCTTTGTGCCGCATGCCCCTTTACACGTTCATTCTGGTTACTTTTGCGCTCATTTCTACATTGTTCAATATGAATGATGACTTTTTAGCTGCATAGATGGATCTGGACAACGTAGAAGATCTAAACGTCAGTTTTGACGACATACATAAGTATTGTTATCATAATCAATTAAACACTATCAAATGTATTGTAAATTAACACTAATTATCACTAGAAGTCTTACACCATTGTAGTGATGCGGAGCTATCATAAGAAGTGCAATTACCGACCGCGCCACTGACTGTTATTTTGTAATATTAATGAATTACTTCAATGAGCAGCTTATTTCGCGCCATCAAGAACTAAGCATAAGCAAAGCTCACTGAACATATACTCGGTGAGAATGGTTCAAGTCGCACTCTTACCCACGAAAAAACCGACCCACAAAACGTGAATTGTGGGCAATACACAAACGCGAGAAACAGGCGTATGCGCGTGTATTATGCGCGTGTATTGCCGACAATTCACGCGGCGTTCAATGTTGAATAGTAGGTAGGCTCTCCTTCATCAACGCTCTCAGTGTCCCGAAAGCGTTTGGACCACTTGTACCTTCGTTTTCACAACAAGCGCGAGTGAATACTGCTAATGTCAACTTCGGCGAATGAAAAAACGTTATAGTGTTTGCCGTCGGACAGTACCTTCGACTGACCAGAACAGTTGAAATCGCACGGCTTTATGTTGGGCGAATGAGGCGATTGAACCCAGGTCTCAGTATTGTTTGTGTCCCAGCACTGCCCTACAATACAGTTACTCGGGGTCTGGCACTATGACGAGCAACGGTGGCCTTCTTGTAGTGTGGTACCATCCATTTGTCGATCTGATTGTCGAAGAACAGGCAATATACACCGAGCGACGATTTTGTTCTCTGTATAGAGCCGCTTGAAAGCCACAGTGCAGAAATCCTTCGCTATGATGATCATCCACTTGCGCCCACGTAACTCCTCATGGACATTCGGGCGGCTTCTCATCTGCATTCATACAAAATTGACGCTTGTGAGTTTATGGCTCGGGGTTCAAGACCACCCATATTTCATCTAGGGCCGGGTGCGTTTTCACAGTCGTGAATGACATCTCATGCTGAGAACATTACTGCTAGAGGCATAGAATCGGTACTGCGTTCGTGCTTCTACAAGAAAATTAGGTACCCATGCGCTCTTGACCATCCTCAGTTTATCGGACATAACTCGGGCAGCAGTTGCAGCTGGGATGTCAGACTCGCGGGGAAGCTCGACAAAGGTCCAGACATTCAGTGCTTGACTTCATCCACCCTTTTTCTTGTGCAGGAATGAACATTATGGGACCATCCACGACAACAAATTTTTTTTCTTTCTTCCTTCTTCGGGCTCCTGAACCAAATCTTCCACCTTGCATTTCGAGAACACCATTACACGCAACTACTGGTCCGGCACAGGTCAAATTTGAGCAGCGCACTTTCCTCTTATGACCTGGTTCGAAAATCTGGCGCTGATTTTCACTCGGGCTTCTTTTCAATTTTTCTATTAGGTTGTCCGGAAAGTTCTCAGCGTTTTGTGTTACTATTTTTTGTACATTCATTGCTGATTAAAAACTCATTCTCCCTTGCGTCTCAGTAGTACATCCTGAAGAGAATTCTTTGCGCTATCTGATGGTATAATTGCCGTTTCACCATTGCTTGATAAACCCCCTTTTCCCAAGACTTTTTGAAGCATGTCAAAAGAGCAACTTCGGACGATATTTTTCTTCAACTACAAACTACGAAGCCCGTTTTTCGCCGAAGTTGTCTCCTTTGTATGAAAAGTGGAACATTACGAAACAGGAGATTTACGGACATATTTGACGCCTATGAACACCGAGCAATTTCCAAGCCGATATTCTTTACCAAAAAAATTATGGTCAATGTGGTCATCGGCTGGTGTGATCCACTATAACTTTTTGTCACCAGGCCAAACCATCACAGCAGAGTCCTACTGTGAAGAAATCGACGAAATGTACCGAAAATTGCGTCAGCTGCAGCCAGCACTTGTCAACAGAAAGGGTCCGATTCTTTGCATGACAACGCCGCCCACACGTTTCACAAATCACTATCCATAAATTGAACGAATTGGGGGTTGAAGTTCTACCTCACCGCCATATTCTTCAGACCGACTATCACCTTTTCAAACATTTTCAGAACTCCCTTGCTGGAAAATACTTCATCAATCAGGACCAGGCAAAAAAGCCTTCATGGATTCGTGGATTCTCGACCACCCAGTTTCTTCTTTGATGGGATTTCTCGACTGGTGTCACATTGGCAAAAGTGTGCTGATTCGAACGGTGCCTATTTCGATTAAATCCGAGGAGTAGAGAGTTATGATCGTTTGAAGTGAAACACTCAAAACGCTGAGCACTT